GGCGTCGGCAATGTTGTTTGCCCCCTTTTTGTACGTGATGCGATAGGTGAAGTGGCTTTCGATGTAATCAAGCCATCGAATTTGTCGCGGGTTGAGGTTGGGCTGGGCTCGCAGATATTGGAGGGACTTGTGGTCCGTGCGAACAGTGACGTCGGCGCCCACCAGGTAGCATCGCCACAGTTTGAATGCGTGGATGAGCATTTCTTTGTCGTGAATCGGGTAGTTGCGTTCGGCTGCTTGCAGCTTGCGGGATTCGTAAGCTATCGGCTGCAGTCCGTTCCCGAAATCCTGGAGTAGCACTGCTCCGATCGCGAAATCAGAGGCGTCGGTGACGACTTCGAACGGCTTCGATGGGTCGGCGATGCGCAGCACAGGAGGGGAAACCAGGAAAATTTTCAACTCCTGGAAAGCCGCTTCTGCCTCCTCCCCCCACACAAAATTCCTGTCCTTGTGCAGCAGGTCGGTTAGCAGGCCGGTTATCCCCGCCATATTTGGGATAAACCGCCGGACGTAATTCACGAACCCCAGAAAACTCTGCAGCTCCGTGATATTCGTCGGGGACTTCCACTCCTGTATGGGCTTGATTTTCGCCGGGTCGATTTTAATGCCGTTGCGTGAGACAACGTGTCCCAAAAACTCCAACTCTTGCTTAAAAAATTCGCACTTAGAGCCCTTGGTGATGAGTCGATTCTCCTGCAACCGCTTAAAACACTGCGTCGAGGTCACGGAGGTGGTGCTCCCGTGTCTTGCTAAAAATCAGGATATCGTCCAAGTAGACGATGACGCGTCGGTCGAGCAGGTCCCGAAAAATCCTGTTCATGGTTAATTGAAAAGTTGAGGGCGCGTTCGTGAGGCCGAAAGGCATCACTGTGAATTCGTAACTTCCGTAGCGGGTGCGAAATGCAGTCTTGTGGTAGTCGTCGGCGAAGACTCGGATTTGGTGGTAACCGCCTCGTAAGTCAATCTTCGAGAAATAACGAGCTCCGCGAAGTTGATCGAGGAGGTCATCGGTGCGGGGGATTGGATAGCGAGACTTGATTGTCAACCCGGGTTTAGCGCACGATAGTCGATGCACATGCGAAGCCCACCATCTTTTTTCGGAGTGAAGAGGATCGGCGCTGCGAAGGGAGATGTGCTGGCTCGGATGAACCCTTTCTCCAACAGTGCGTCGATTTGACTTCGCAACTCCTCAAGTTCCGGTTGGGTCAACCGCCATTGTGTCCGAACAGTCGGCTGCGCGCCAGGTTCCAGCTGGATTTTGTGGTCCTCGGGTCGCTCGGGTGGTAGTCCAGGTGGCAGGTCGTCGGGGAAAATGTCGGGGTACTGTCGAATCAGCTCCGCTGGATGAACTTGGTCCACCTCCAGCCCCTGCATCATCATGGTGGATGTTGATAGATGCAGATAATATGCATGCAGATAATATGCACATTTGGGAGGTCATTTAGTGACAGGAATATGACAAAGAAAATGGTCACGTGGACATCATGTCGAATAAGACAATCACAACGAATTGAACGTTCGCTTTGCATTACCTGAACCAGAATATGTGTTCCTCGAAGCGGATGCACAGGTCGTATCATCTCGCGCGGCCGCACTGTGAGATGAAGCTGAAGCCTGTAAGATCATGAACGACTGCACTGAGCATGGTCGAACGCCATGCTCCGGGTGGGGATCATATCCCCACAGCTCTGCTACATCCGAAAATCGGAAATCCAACCCATCATCGTCCGCGCTTGGCTCCATCGTATTCCCCTCCAAGATGTCAATGGCGACCGATCCTCCGTAAACCCCACTGTCTGGAGAACCGCTGGCGCACCCACTGCCAGCAGGTCCTCGACCCTCAGTAACGGGTACCTCTACCATGCTCACCACACCCTCCTGGCCCCCTACCACTAGCCCCTCCGGGCCTTGTGATGCTCTACCCCCCCTGTTCACCACCCCACCCCCACTCTGGCCTCGCACCCTGGACAACACGTCGCATCTCGGGGAAACTCGTATTGCGTGCTAACATCCGCCAAATCCACAAAACCGATCTTCTTCAGCTTACAGACTTCCTTGATTAAATCCTTCCTTGTCGGTTTTTTGGGTACTCCTGGCAATTTGGGCCCAAGCCGCTCTCGCAACCATGCCTTGAGGTCTTCAGCCTTGATGTTCCAAAGATCCTGGATTGTGTCCGCATCTGATGGGTGTTTTACCTTTTTCTTCCCCTCCATGAATTTTTTATGAAACATGCGTGATAGCGAACGACCCTTATGCCACACATCGCGTTGATGCTCTATACTAGTACCAAGGATCCCAAGCTTGAATGACGCACCCTCGTATGAAACTATGCCCTTTATTGGAAAACCCCACTTCTGAAGGTCTTGCACCCCTGTGCTAAAAGCAACCCCCTCTAACTGATTGGATGCCAGATCGTCTGGTGTTTTCGGCAAGGTGACGCAATGTATTATCTTCCTGGTCCTGGCATCCATGAATGCGACAGTGCACCACTCAGCTTCGCGTGGCTGTCCCCACCTCCCATCGACACATAACCAAATATCCCGTCTACCCTGGGCCATCATCACTTCTCGTACCTTTTCCATACACTTTTCCGCATGCGTTACTATCTTCTCCCATAAGCCACCCGGAGCACTCATGTACTTATAGAAAGTCGTCTTACAAGGGACTGGCACGCCAAGATTCCGCCCCACCTCCGAAAACACTTGGTAGCCTAAGCCAGCAAGTGCAAAAGACGCAAGGAACCTCTGCATCAATGTCAGACGTTTTCGACCAGGCTTGCTTGCCTCACCAGGTGATACCTGACGGTTTTATCGACCATAATGGTAAGGAACCATGGCATTGGTCACAAGTCCAAACCACTCCTAACGTCGCCCACATCAGCTTCCATGACCGTAAGTGCATCTTACCCCCACAACCTCGCCCTAGTGTGCACATAATCGAGATGGTATGAAAGAACCTGATGACGTGAATGGGATCCAAAAGGCACACGACTTGTCGCAACCCGTCCATTGTCGGCTTGGATGGCCATCTCCTTGGGGATCCCCCGGCCGGGGTACGATGAACCTGCGGATCTCTGGTGCGTAGATGCAATCCAGGTAAGGAAGAAGGGGGGATGGAAGCGGTCATGGGTATGGAGGGGTGGTTTCATTGTATCAGTGCAAGTCGAATACAAGTCACATGATACCATTCACCGTACATCACGATTATGTTGCATCCCCTAGTTCAAATGTTACATACCCTGTAATGTTCGCCTCGATGTCGTCCATGCATCCCTCCTCGGCTGTACACGGTGTCTCTTGGCCGTCGTTGCATGCCTCATCAATCTCTATTGACACATGGGTGTCAGAGGTCCGCTGGTGATCTCTGATTGATCCTAGGGAAGGGTTACAGGCATGTTGTCCTGGGGGGTTATGGGCGCACTGACCCGCTACTTAACAAGCCCTTTTATCCCAGTGGTCTAGTGGTTGGGATTCTGACATGGTATCAGAGGGAAGGTCTCGGGTTCGAATCCCAGTGTGTGCACTTCGGGCATCCCAGTGCGGGGGGGTGTCAGAGGTCCACTGGTGATCCCCGATTGATCCTAGGGAAGGGTTACAGGCATGTTGTCCTGGGGGGTTATGGGCGCACTGACCCGCTACTTAACAAGCCCTTTTATCCCAATGGTCTAGTGGTTGGGATTCTGACAATGGGCTTCACCAGGACACTCCTCCCCTCCTTCATCCATGGTAGCTTCAACGTCTGGTCGACAAACGTCGTCTTCCATCTGTTCGACAACATGAAGTGCAGACTGTTCATAGTGCATGCTCTGTCCCGCTGATGCTAAAGGACAAGGTAGAGCAAGGGAGTAGATGATGAACAGTGAAGGAAGAATAGAAAAAGCGAGGGGAAACAAGGGGATATGTGGGGAAAGAGAGGGAGTGGAGGGAAGAGAGAGGGAGGGAGGGGGTATATGAGTAGTATTGGGGTAAAAGATGGAAAATGGAGAGGCGAGAGGGGAGGAAGGGTTAGGAAAGGGAGAGAAATCAATGGAGAAGAAGAGAAGGAACATAGGCAAAAGAAGAGGAAATCAGAGCGGAAGAGGGCAGGGCGGATGGCATGGGTTATGGAAGAGAACGAAATGGGATTTACGAGGATACTGATGGTTGGATGTTTCGGCAGGCATCGCCTCACATTCTATGACATGCACCTTTTCGTAGAAGGTTGGTGTAAGCGATCCCACGTCGAGGTCCTCCTTGATCAAATATTGCTCCCTCTTTTCGCGCACTCCCATCCTTTTCCTCGTACTTTGGAAAATTGTACGTTAGACCAGCGATTGCACGCCCCTGCCCTTTCACAATGATATCTGGTTGTCCAATAGATCGATCCTTTCCTCCTTGGAACTTGTTCCCGAAATCCCCCATCAGCAACTGCAACCGTTGGCTCGGCCTCGTCCCCGTCCACCCCTGCACGGATAGGAGGTGTGTGTATGTTACTCTCCACGTATGTTGTCCAATGAAAAAGCCCACGCTGACTCCTCCGATTTCCCTTCCCACAGTATACTCTTGTACTCACTCACCGGCCTGCTTGGCTGCTGACATGAGCGCATCCTTCGCTCCGGATCCCGCATGTATAAGAAAGTACACCAAATCCGCAACAGTGCCGACTCTCCCTTCTCCCATTAGAGAGCTCAATCCACAACGGAGGTAGCATATGGGGATCTGCATTTTATTTGCTATTGCCAAGTTTCCTTTCTCCTTACTCCCAACAAGCTCAAGCACTTTGCTCCTCCACGACGCTGCTGTTTGTTTCTTTCGGATTCGAGCCATGGTGACTGGTGGTGGGGGGGAATGGATGAGCCATGGTGACTGGTGGTGGGGGGGAACGGATGTAGCGCGAGGGATGATGGGTGAGTTTGCTGGGGGGAGGGGTCTGTTGGGATGGGCTGGAAATAGTGGGAGGTGGGAGGAAGATCGAGCATGCTGGCAGAGAAACGGGTGAGCAAGAGGAAGGGATGGGAAACAATGAAGTGGGAACTGCAGGCAAGGGGGGACCAGGCAGCATGGAGGTGGGGAAAGGATGGTAGCCAGGGAGGGAAAGGAGGGCAAGAAGTGGGAGGAAGGAAGACATGCAGCGAGGGGAAAGGAGACCAGACAGTGGGGGAAAAAGGTAACCAAGTGGTGGGGAAAGGATACCAGACAGTGGGGGAAAAAGGTAACCAAGTGGTGGGGAAAGGATACCAGACAGTGGGGGAAAAAGGTAACCAAGTGGTGGGGAAAGGAGACCAGACAGTGGGGGAAAAAGGTAACCAAGTGGTGGGGAAAGGAGACCAGACAGTGGGGGAAAAAGGTAACCAAGTGGTGGGGAAAGGATACCAGACAGTGGGGGAAAAAGGTAACCAAGTGGTGGGGAAAGGAGACCAGACAGTGGGGGAAAAAGGTAACCAAGTGGTGGGGAAAGGATACCAGACAGTGGGGGAAAAAGGTAACCAAGTGGTGGGGAAAGGAGACCAGACAGTGGGGGAAAAAGGTAACCAAGTGGTGGGGAAAGGAGACCAGACAGTGGGGGAAAAAGGTAACCAAGTGGTGGGGAAAGGAGACCAGACAGTGGGGGAAAAAGGTAACCAAGTGGTGGGGAAAGGAGACCAGACAGTGGGGGAAAAAGGTAACCAAGTGGTGGGGAAAGGAGACCAGACAGTGGGGGAAAAAGGTAACCAAGTGGTGGGGAAAGGATACCAGACAGTGGGGGAAAAAGGTAACCAAGTGGTGGGGAAAGGAGACCAGACAGTGGGGGAAAAAGGTAACCAAGTGGTGGGGAAAGGAGACCAGACAGTGGGGGAAAAAGGTAACCAAGTGGTGGGGAAAGGATACCAGACAGTGGGGGAAAAAGGTAACCAAGTGGTGGGGAAAGGAGACCAGACAGTGGGGGAAAAAGGTAACCAAGTGGTGGGGAAAGGATACCAGACAGTGGGGGAAAAAGGTAACCAAGTGGTGGGGAAAGGAGACCAGACAGTGGGGGAAAAAGGTAACCAAGTGGTGGGGAAAGGAGACCAGACAGTGGGGGAAAAAGGTAACCAAGTGGTGGGGAAAGGAGACCAGACAGTGGGGGAAAAAGGTAACCAAGTGGTGGGGAAAGGATACCAGACAGTGGGGGAAAAAGGTAACCAAGTGGTGGGGAAAGGAGACCAGACAGTGGGGGAAAAAGGTAACCAAGTGGTGGGGAAAGGAGACCAGACAGTGGGGGAAAAAGGTAACCAAGTGGTGGGGAAAGGATACCAGACAGTGGGGGAAAAAGGTAACCAAGTGGTGGGGAAAGGAGACCAGACAGTGGGGGAAAAAGGTAACCAAGTGGTGGGGAAAGGAGACCAGACAGTGGGGGAAAAAGGTAACCAAGTGGTGGGGAAAGGAGACCAGACAGTGGGGGAAAAAGGTAACCAAGTGGTGGGGAAAGGAGACCAGACAGTGGGGGAAAAAGGTAACCAAGTGGTGGGGAAAGGAGACCAGACAGTGGGGGAAAAAGGTAACCAAGTGGTGGGGAAAGGAGACCAGACAGTGGGGGAAAAAGGTAACCAAGTGGTGGGGAAAGGAGACCAGACAGTGGGGGAAAAAGGTAACCAAGTGGTGGGGAAAGGATACCAGACAGTGGGGGAAAAAGGTAACCAAGTGGTGGGGAAAGGATACCAGACAGTGGGGGAAAAAGGTAACCAAGTGGTGGGGAAAGGAGACCAGACAGTGGGGGAAAAAGGTAACCAAGTGGTGGGGAAAGGATACCAGACAGTGGGGGAAAAAGGTAACCAAGTGGTGGGGAAAGGAGACCAGACAGTGGGGGAAAAAGGTAACCAAGTGGTGGGGAAAGGATACCAGACAGTGGGGGAAAAGGTAACCAAGTGGTGGGGAAAGGAGACCAGACAGTGGGGGAAAAAGGTAACCAAGTGGTGGGGAAAGGATACCAGACAGTGGGGGAAAAAGGTAACCAAGTGGTGGGGAAAGGAGACCAGACAGTGGGGGAAAAAGGTAACCAAGTGGTGGGGAAAGGAGACCAGACAGTGGGGGAAAAAGGTAACCAAGTGGTGGGGAAAGGAGACCAGACAGTGGGGGAAAAAGGTAACCAAGTGGTGGGGAAAGGATACCAGACAGTGGGGGAAAAAGGTAACCAAGTGGTGGGGAAAGGAGACCAGACAGTGGGGGAAAAAGGTAACCAAGTGGTGGGGAAAGGAGACCAGACAGTGGGGGAAAAAGGTAACCAAGTGGTGGGGAAAGGATACCAGACAGTGGGGGAAAAAGGTAACCAAGTGGTGGGGAAAGGAGACCAGACAGTGGGGGAAAAAGGTAACCAAGTGGTGGGGAAAGGAGACCAGACAGTGGGGGAAAAAGGTAACCAAGTGGTGGGGAAAGGAGACCAGACAGTGGGGGAAAAAGGTAACCAAGTGGTGGGGAAAGGATACCAGACAGTGGGGGAAAAAGGTAACCAAGTGGTGGGGAAAGGATACCAGACAGTGGGGGAAAAGGTAACCAAGTGGTGGGGAAAGGATACCAGACAGTGGGGGAAAAAGGTAACCAAGTGGTGGGGAAAGGATACCAGACAGTGGGGGAAAAAGGTAACCAAGTGGTGGGGAAAGGATACCAGACAGTGGGGGAAAAAGGTAACCAAGTGGTGGGGAAAGGAGACCAGACAGTGGGGGAAAAAGGTAACCAAGTGGTGGGGAAAGGATACCAGACAGTGGGGGAAAAGGTAACCAAGTGGTGGGGAAAGGATACCAGACAGTGGGGGAAAAGGTAACCAAGTGGTGGGGAAAGGATACCAGACAGTGGGGGAAAAAGGTAACCAAGTGGTGGGGAAAGGATACCAGACAGTGGGGGAAAAGGTAACCAAGTGGTGGGGAAAGGAGACCAGACAGTGGGGGAAAAAGGTAACCAAGTGGTGGGGAAAGGAGACCAGACAGTGGGGGAAAAAGGTAACCAAGTGGTGGGGAAAGGAGACCAGACAGTGGGGGAAAAAGGTAACCAAGTGGTGGGGAAAGGATACCAGACAGTGGGGGAAAAAGGTAACCAAGTGGTGGGGAAAGGAGACCAGACAGTGGGGGAAAAAGGTAACCAAGTGGTGGGGAAAGGAGACCAGACAGTGGGGGAAAAAGGTAACCAAGTGGTGGGAAAGGAGACCAGACAGTGGGGGAAAAAGGTAACCAAGTGGTGGGGAAAGGAGACCAGACAGTGGGGGAAAAAGGTAACCAAGTGGTGGGGAAAGGAGACCAGACAGTGGGGGAAAAAGGTAACCAAGTGGTGGGGAAAGGATACCAGACAGTGGGGGAAAAAGGTAACCAAGTGGTGGGGAAAGGATACCAGACAGTGGGGGAAAAAGGTAACCAAGTGGTGGGGAAAGGAGACCAGACAGTGGGGGAAAAAGGTAACCAAGTGGTGGGGAAAGGAGACCAGACAGTGGGGGAAAAAGGTAACCAAGTGGTGGGGAAAGGAGACCAGACAGTGGGGGAAAAAGGTAACCAAGTGGTGGGGAAAGGAGACCAGACAGTGGGGGAAAAAGGTAACCAAGTGGTGGGGAAAGGAGACCAGACAGTGGGGGAAAAAGGTAACCAAGTGGTGGGGAAAGGAGACCAGACAGTGGGGGAAAAAGGTAACCAAGTGGTGGGGAAAGGATACCAGACAGTGGGGGAAAAGGTAACCAAGTGGTGGGGAAAGGAGACCAGACAGTGGGGGAAAAAGGTAACCAAGTGGTGGGGAAAGGATACCAGACAGTGGGGGAAAAAGGTAACCAAGTGGTGGGGAAAGGAGACCAGACAGTGGGGGAAAAAGGTAACCAAGTGGTGGGGAAAGGAGACCAGACAGTGGGGGAAAAAGGTAACCAAGTGGTGGGGAAAGGAGACCAGACAGTGGGGGAAAAGGTAACCAAGTGGTGGGGAAAGGAGACCAGACAGTGGGGGAAAAAGGTAACCAAGTGGTGGGGAAAGGAGACCAGACAGTGGGGGAAAAAGGTAACCAAGTGGTGGGGAAAGGAGACCAGACAGTGGGGGAAAAAGGTAACCAAGTGGTGGGGAAAGGAGACCAGACAGTGGGGGAAAAAGGTAACCAAGTGGTGGGGAAAGGATACCAGACAGTGGGGGAAAAAGGTAACCAAGTGGTGGGGAAAGGAGACCAGACAGTGGGGGAAAAAGGTAACCAAGTGGTGGGGAAAGGAGACCAGACAGTGGGGGAAAAAGGTAACCAAGTGGTGGGGAAAGGAGACCAGACAGTGGGGGAAAAAGGTAACCAAGTGGTGGGGAAAGGAGACCAGACAGTGGGGGAAAAAGGTAACCAAGTGGTGGGGAAAGGAGACCAGACAGTGGGGGAAAAAGGTAACCAAGTGGTGGGGAAAGGAGACCAGACAGTGGGGGAAAAAGGTAACCAAGTGGTGGGGAAAGGATACCAGACAGTGGGGGAAAAAGGTAACCAAGTGGTGGGGAAAGGAGACCAGACAGTGGGGGAAAAAGGTAACCAAGTGGTGGGGAAAGGAGACCAGACAGTGGGGGAAAAAGGTAACCAAGTGGTGGGGAAAGGAGACCAGACAGTGGGGGAAAAAGGTAACCAAGTGGTGGGGAAAGGAGACCAGACAGTGGGGGAAAAAGGTAACCAAGTGGTGGGGAAAGGAGACCAGACAGTGGGGGAAAAAGGTAACCAAGTGGTGGGGAAAGGATACCAGACAGTGGGGGAAAAAGGTAACCAAGTGGTGGGGAAAGGAGACCAGACAGTGGGGGAAAAAGGTAACCAAGTGGTGGGGAAAGGAGACCAGACAGTGGGGGAAAAAGGTAACCAAGTGGTGGGGAAAGGAGACCAGACAGTGGGGGAAAAAGGTAACCAAGTGGTGGGGAAAGGAGACCAGACAGTGGGGGAAAAAGGTAACCAAGTGGTGGGGAAAGGAGACCAGACAGTGGGGGAAAAAGGTAACCAAGTGGTGGGGAAAGGAGACCAGACAGTGGGGGAAAAAGGTAACCAAGTGGTGGGGAAAGGAGACCAGACAGTGGGGGAAAAAGGTAACCAAGTGGTGGGGAAAGGAGACCAGACAGTGGGGGAAAAAGGTAACCAAGTGGTGGGGAAAGGAGACCAGACAGTGGGGGAAAAAGGTAACCAAGTGGTGGGGAAAGGAGACCAGACAGTGGGGGAAAAAGGTAACCAAGTGGTGGGGAAAGGAGACCAGACAGTGGGGGAAAAAGGTAACCAAGTGGTGGGGAAAGGAGACCAGACAGTGGGGGAAAAAGGTAACCAAGTGGTGGGGAAAGGAGACCAGACAGTGGGGGAAAAAGGTAACCAAGTGGTGGGGAAAGGAGACCAGACAGTGGGGGAAAAAGGTAACCAAGTGGTGGGGAAAGGATACCAGACAGTGGGGGAAAAAGGTAACCAAGTGGTGGGGAAAGGAGACCAGACAGTGGGGGAAAAAGGTAACCAAGTGGTGGGGAAAGGAGACCAGACAGTGGGGGAAAAAGGTAACCAAGTGGTGGGGAAAGGAGACCAGACAGTGGGGGAAAAAGGTAACCAAGTGGTGGGGAAAGGAGACCAGACAGTGGGGGAAAAAGGTAACCAAGTGGTGGGGAAAGGAGACCAGACAGTGGGGGAAAAAGGTAACCAAGTGGTGGGGAAAGGATACCAGACAGTGGGGGAAAAAGGTAACCAAGTGGTGGGGAAAGGAGACCAGACAGTGGGGGAAAAAGGTAACCAAGTGGTGGGGAAAGGAGACCAGACAGTGGGGGAAAAAGGTAACCAAGTGGTGGGGAAAGGAGACCAGACAGTGGGGGAAAAAGGTAACCAAGTGGTGGGGAAAGGAGACCAGACAGTGGGGGAAAAAGGTAACCAAGTGGTGGGGAAAGGAGACCAGACAGTGGGGGAAAAAGGTAACCAAGTGGTGGGGAAAGGAGACCAGACAGTGGGGGAAAAAGGTAACCAAGTGGTGGGGAAAGGAGACCAGACAGTGGGGGAAAAAGGTAACCAAGTGGTGGGGAAAGGAGACCAGACAGTGGGGGAAAAAGGTAACCAAGTGGTGGGGAAAGGAGACCAGACAGTGGGGGAAAAAGGTAACCAAGTGGTGGGGAAAGGAGACCAGACAGTGGGGGAAAAAGGTAACCAAGTGGTGGGGAAAGGAGACCAGACAGTGGGGGAAAAAGGTAACCAAGTGGTGGGGAAAGGAGACCAGACAGTGGGGGAAAAAGGTAACCAAGTGGTGGGGAAAGGAGACCAGACAGTGGGGGAAAAAGGTAACCAAGTGGTGGGGAAAGGAGACCAGACAGTGGGGGAAAAAGGTAACCAAGTGGTGGGGAAAGGAGACCAGACAGTGGGGGAAAAAGGTAACCAAGTGGTGGGGAAAGGAGACCAGACAGTGGGGGAAAAAGGTAACCAAGTGGTGGGGAAAGGAGACCAGACAGTGGGGGAAAAAGGTAACCAAGTGGTGGGGAAAGGAGACCAGACAGTGGGGGAAAAAGGTAACCAAGTGGTGGGGAAAGGAGACCAGACAGTGGGGGAAAAAGGTAACCAAGTGGTGGGGAAAGGAGACCAGACAGTGGGGGAAAAAGGTAACCAAGTGGTGGGGAAAGGAGACCAGACAGTGGGGGAAAAAGGTAACCAAGTGGTGGGGAAAGGAGACCAGACAGTGGGGGAAAAAGGTAACCAAGTGGTGGGGAAAGGAGACCAGACAGTGGGGGAAAAAGGTAACCAAGTGGTGGGGAAAGGAGACCAGACAGTGGGGGAAAAAGGTAACCAAGTGGTGGGGAAAGGAGACCAGACAGTGGGGGAAAAAGGTAACCAAGTGGTGGGGAAAGGAGACCAGACAGTGGGGGAAAAAGGTAACCAAGTGGTGGGGAAAGGAGACCAGACAGTGGGGGAAAAAGGTAACCAAGTGGTGGGGAAAGGAGACCAGACAGTGGGGGAAAAAGGTAACCAAGTGGTGGGGAAAGGAGACCAGACAGTGGGGGAAAAAGGTAACCAAGTGGTGGGGAAAGGAGACCAGACAGTGGGGGAAAAAGGTAACCAAGTGGTGGGGAAAGGAGACCAGACAGTGGGGGAAAAAGGTAACCAAGTGGTGGGGAAAGGAGACCAGACAGTGGGGGAAAAAGGTAACCAAGTGGTGGGGAAAGGAGACCAGACAGTGGGGGAAAAAGGTAACCAAGTGGTGGGGAAAGGAGACCAGACAGTGGGGGAAAAAGGTAACCAAGTGGTGGGGAAAGGAGACCAGACAGTGGGGGAAAAAGGTAACCAAGTGGTGGGGAAAGGAGACCAGACAGTGGGGGAAAAAGGTAACCAAGTGGTGGGGAAAGGAGACCAGACAGTGGGGGAAAAAGGTAACCAAGTGGTGGGGAAAGGAGACCAGACAGTGGGGGAAAAAGGTAACCAAGTGGTGGGGAAAGGAGACCAGACAGTGGGGGAAAAAGGTAACCAAGTGGTGGGGAAAGGAGACCAGACAGTGGGGGAAAAAGGTAACCAAGTGGTGGGGAAAGGAGACCAGACAGTGGGGGAAAAAGGTAACCAAGTGGTGGGGAAAGGAGACCAGACAGTGGGGGAAAAAGGTAACCAAGTGGTGGGGAAAGGAGACCAGACAGTGGGGGAAAAAGGTAACCAAGTGGTGGGGAAAGGAGACCAGACAGTGGGGGAAAAAGGTAACCAAGTGGTGGGGAAAGGAGACCAGACAGTGGGGGAAAAAGGTAACCAAGTGGTGGGGAAAGGAGACCAGACAGTGGGGGAAAAAGGTAACCAAGTGGTGGGGAAAGGAGACCAGACAGTGGGGGAAAAAGGTAACCAAGTGGTGGGGAAAGGAGACCAGACAGTGGGGGAAAAAGGTAACCAAGTGGTGGGGAAAGGAGACCAGACAGTGGGGGAAAAAGGTAACCAAGTGGTGGGGAAAGGAGACCAGACAGTGGGGGAAAAAGGTAACCAAGTGGTGGGGAAAGGAGACCAGACAGTGGGGGAAAAAGGTAACCAAGTGGTGGGGAAAGGAGACCAGACAGTGGGGGAAAAAGGTAACCAAGTGGTGGGGAAAGGAGACCAGACAGTGGGGGAAAAAGGTAACCAAGTGGTGGGGAAAGGAGACCAGACAGTGGGGGAAAAAGGTAACCAAGTGGTGGGGAAAGGAGACCAGACAGTGGGGGAAAAAGGTAACCAAGTGGTGGGGAAAGGAGACCAGACAGTGGGGGAAAAAGGTAACCAAGTGGTGGGGAAAGGAGACCAGACAGTGGGGGAAAAAGGTAACCAAGTGGTGGGGAAAGGAGACCAGACAGTGGGGGAAAAAGGTAACCAAGTGGTGGGGAAAGGAGACCAGACAGTGGGGGAAAAAGGTAACCAAGTGGTGGGGAAAGGAGACCAGACAGTGGGGGAAAAAGGTAACCAAGTGGTGGGGAAAGGAGACCAGACAGTGGGGGAAAAAGGTAACCAAGTGGTGGGGAAAGGAGACCAGACAGTGGGGGAAAAAGGTAACCAAGTGGTGGGGAAAGGAGACCAGACAGTGGGGGAAAAAGGTAACCAAGTGGTGGGGAAAGGAGACCAGACAGTGGGGGAAAAAGGTAACCAAGTGGTGGGGAAAGGAGACCAGACAGTGGGGGAAAAAGGTAACCAAGTGGTGGGGAAAGGAGACCAGACAGTGGGGGAAAAAGGTAACCAAGTGGTGGGGAAAGGAGACCAGACAGTGGGGGAAAAAGGTAACCAAGTGGTGGGGAAAGGAGACCAGACAGTGGGGGAAAAAGGTAACCAAGTGGTGGGGAAAGGAGACCAGACAGTGGGGGAAAAAGGTAACCAAGTGGTGGGGAAAGGAGACCAGACAGTGGGGGAAAAGGTAACCAAGTGGTGGGGAAAGGAGACCAGACAGTGGGGGAAAAAGGTAACCAAGTGGTGGGGAAAGGAGACCAGACAGTGGGGGAAAAAGGTAACCAAGTGGTGGGGAAAGGAGACCAGACAGTGGGGGAAAAAGGTAACCAAGTGGTGGGGAAAGGAGACCAGACAGTGGGGGAAAAAGGTAACCAAGTGGTGGGGAAAGGAGACCAGACAGTGGGGGAAAAAGGTAACCAAGTGGTGGGGAAAGGAGACCAGACAGTGGGGGAAAAAGGTAACCAAGTGGTGGGGAAAGGAGACCAGACAGTGGGGGAAAAAGGTAACCAAGTGGTGGGGAAAGGAGACCAGACAGTGGGGGAAAAAGGTAACCAAGTGGTGGGGAAAGGAGACCAGACAGTGGGGGAAAAAGGTAACCAAGTGGTGGGGAAAGGAGACCAGACAGTGGGGGAAAAAGGTAACCAAGTGGTGGGGAAAGGAGACCAGACAGTGGGGGAAAAAGGTAACCAAGTGGTGGGGAAAGGAGACCAGACAGTGGGGGAAAAAGGTAACCAAGTGGTGGGGAAAGGAGACCAGACAGTGGGGGAAAAAGGTAACCAAGTGGTGGGGAAAGGAGACCAGACAGTGGGGGAAAAAGGTAACCAAGTGGTGGGGAAAGGAGACCAGACAGTGGGGGAAAAAGGTAACCAAGTGGTGGGGAAAGGAGACCAGACAGTGGGGGAAAAAGGTAACCAAGTGGTGGGGAAAGGAGACCAGACAGTGGGGGAAAAAGGTAACCAAGTGGTGGGGAAAGGAGACCAGACAGTGGGGGAAAAAGGTAACCAAGTGGTGGGGAAAGGAGACCAGACAGTGGGGGAAAAAGGTAACCAAGTGGTGGGGAAAGGAGACCAGACAGTGGGGGAAAAAGGTAACCAAGTGGTGGGGAAAGGAGACCAGACAGTGGGGGAAAAAGGTAACCAAGTGGTGGGGAAAGGAGACCAGACAGTGGGGGAAAAAGGTAACCAAGTGGTGGGGAAAGGAGACCAGACAGTGGGGGAAAAAGGTAACCAAGTGGTGGGGAAAGGAGACCAGACAGTGGGGGAAAAAGGTAACCAAGTGGTGGGGAAAGGAGACCAGACAGTGGGGGAAAAAGGTAACCAAGTGGTGGGGAAAGGAGACCAGACAGTGGGGGAAAAAGGTAACCAAGTGGTGGGGAAAGGAGACCAGACAGTGGGGGAAAAAGGTAACCAAGTGGTGGGGAAAGGAGACCAGACAGTGGGGGAAAAAGGTAACCAAGTGGTGGGGAAAGGAGACCAGACAGTGGGGGAAAAAGGTAACCAAGTGGTGGGGAAAGGAGACCAGACAGTGGGGGAAAAAGGTAACCAAGTGGTGGGGAAAGGAGACCAGACAGTGGGGGAAAAAGGTAACCAAGTGGTGGGGAAAGGAGACCAGACAGTGGGGGAAAAAGGTAACCAAGTGGTGGGGAAAGGAGACCAGACAGTGGGGGAAAAAGGTAACCAAGTGGTGGGGAAAGGAGACCAGACAGTGGGGGAAAAAGGTAACCAAGTGGTGGGGAAAGGAGACCAGACAGTGGGGGAAAAAGGTAACCAAGTGGTGGGGAAAGGAGACCAGACAGTGGGGGAAAAAGGTAACCAAGTGGTGGGGAAAGGAGACCAGACAGTGGGGGAAAAAGGTAACCAAGTGGTGGGGAAAGGAGACCAGACAGTGGGGGAAAAAGGTAACCAAGTGGTGGGGAAAGGAGACCAGACAGTGGGGGAAAAAGGTAACCAAGTGGTGGGGAAAGGAGACCAGACAGTGGGGGAAAAAGGTAACCAAGTGGTGGGGAAAGGAGACCAGACAGTGGGGGAAAAAGGTAACCAAGTGGTGGGGAAAGGAGACCAGACAGTGGGGGAAAAAGGTAACCAAGTGGTGGGGAAAGGAGACCAGACAGTGGGGGAAAAAGGTAACCAAGTGGTGGGGAAAGGAGACCAGACAGTGGGGGAAAAAGGTAACCAAGTGGTGGGGAAAGGAGACCAGACAGTGGGGGAAAAAGGTAACCAAGTGGTGGGAAAGGAGACCAGACAGTGGGGGAAAAAGGTAACCAAGTGGTGGGGAAAGGAGACCAGACAGTGGGGGAAAAAGGTAACCAAGTGGTGGGGAAAGGAGACCAGACAGTGGGGGAAAAAGGTAACCAAGTGGTGGGGAAAGGAGACCAGACAGTGGGGGAAAAAGGTAACCAAGTGGTGGGGAAAGGAGACCAGACAGTGGGGGAAAAAGGTAACCAAGTGGTGGGGAAAGGAGACCAGACAGTGGGGGAAAAAGGTAACCAAGTGGTGGGGAAAGGAGACCAGACAGTGGGGGAAAAAGGTAACCAAGTGGTGGGGAAAGGAGACCAGACAGTGGGGGAAAAAGGTAACCAAGTGGTGGGGAAAGGAGACCAGACAGTGGGGGAAAAAGGTAACCAAGTGGTGGGGAAAGGAGACCAGACAGTGGGGGAAAAAGGTAACCAAGTGGTGGGGAAAGGAGACCAGACAGTGGGGGAAAAAGGTAACCAAGTGGTGGGGAAAGGAGACCAGACAGTGGGGGAAAAAGGTAACCAAGTGGTGGGGAAAGGATACCAGACAGTGGGGGAAAAAGGTAACCAAGTGGTGGGGAAAGGAGACCAGACAGTGGGGGAAAAAGGTAACCAAGTGGTGGGGAAAGGAGACCAGACAGTGGGGGAAAAAGGTAACCAAGTGGTGGGGAAAGGAGACCAGACAGTGGGGGAAAAAGGTAACCAAGTGGTGGGGAAAGGAGACCAGACAGTGGGGGAAAAAGGTAACCAAGTGGTGGGGAAAGGATACCAGACAGTGGGGGAAAAAGGTAACCAAGTGGTGGGGAAAGGATACCAGACAGTGGGGGAAAAAGGTAACCAAGTGGTGGGGAAAGGAGACCAGACAGTGGGGGAAAAAGGTAACCAAGTGGTGGGGAAAGGAGACCAGACAGTGGGGGAAAAAGGTAACCAAGTGGTGGGGAAAGGAGACCAGACAGTGGGGGAAAAAGGTAACCAAGTGGTGGGGAAAGGAGACCAGACAGTGGGGGAAAAAGGTAACCAAGTGGTGGGGAAAGGATACCAGACAGTGGGGGAAAAAGGTAACCAAGTGGTGGGGAAAGGAGACCAGACAGTGGGGGAAAAAGGTAACCAAGTGGTGGGGAAAGGAGACCAGACAGTGGGGGAAAAAGGTAACCAAGTGGTGGGGAAAGGAGACCAGACAGTGGGGGAAAAAGGTAACCAAGTGGTGGGGAAAGGAGACCAGACAGTGGGGGAAAAAGGTAACCAAGTGGTGGGGAAAGGAGACCAGACAGTGGGGGAAAAAGGTAACCAAGTGGTGGGGAAAGGATACCAGACAGTGGGGGAAAAAGGTAACCAAGTGGTGGGGAAAGGAGACCAGACAGTGGGGGAAAAAGGTAACCAAGTGGTGGGGAAAGGAGACCAGACAGTGGGGGAAAAAGGTAACCAAGTGGTGGGGAAAGGAGACCAGACAGTGGGGGAAAAAGGTAACCAAGTGGTGGGGAAAGGATACCAGACAGTGGGGGAAAAAGGTAACCAAGTGGTGGGGAAAGGAGACCAGACAGTGGGGGAAAAAGGTAACCAAGTGGTGGGGAAAGGAGACCAGACAGTGGGGGAAAAAGGTAACCAAGTGGTGGGGAAAGGAGACCAGACAGTGGGGGAAAAAGGTAACCAAGTGGTGGGGAAAGGAGACCAGACAGTGGGGGAAAAAGGTAACCAAGTGGTGGGGAAAGGAGACCAGACAGTGGGGGAAAAAGGTAACCAAGTGGTGGGGAAAGGAGACCAGACAGTGGGGGAAAAAGGTAACCAAGTGGTGGGGAAAGGAGACCAGACAGTGGGGGAAAAAGGTAACCAAGTGGTGGGGAAAGGAGACCAGACAGTGGGGGAAAAAGGTAACCAAGTGGTGGGGAAAGGAGACCAGACAGTGGGGGAAAAAGGTAACCAAGTGGTGGGGAAAGGAGACCAGACAGTGGGGGAAAAAGGTAACCAAGTGGTGGGGAAAGGAGACCAGACAGTGGGGGAAAAAGGTAACCAAGTGGTGGGGAAAGGAGACCAGACAGTGGGGGAAAAAGGTAACCAAGTGGTGGGGAAAGGAGACCAGACAGTGGGGGAAAAAGGTAACCAAGTGGTGGGGAAAGGAGACCAGACAGTGGGGGAAAAAGGTAACCAAGTGGTGGGGAAAGGAGACCAGACAGTGGGGGAAAAAGGTAACCAAGTGGTGGGGAAAGGATACCAGACAGTGGGGGAAAAAGGTAACCAAGTGGTGGGGAAAGGAGACCAGACAGTGGGGGAAAAAGGTAACCAAGTGGTGGGGAAAGGAGACCAGACAGTGGGGGAAAAAGGTAACCAAGTGGTGGGGAAAGGAGACCAGACAGTGGGGGAAAAAGGTAACCAAGTGGTGGGGAAAGGAGACCAGACAGTGGGGGAAAAAGGTAACCAAGTGGTGGGGAAAGGAGACCAGACAGTGGGGGAAAAAGGTAACCAAGTGGTGGGGAAAGGAGACCAGACAGTGGGGGAAAAAGGTAACCAAGTGGTGGGGAAAGGATACCAGACAGTGGGGGAAAAAGGTAACCAAGTGGTGGGGAAAGGAGACCAGACAGTGGGGGAAAAAGGTAACCAAGTGGTGGGGAAAGGAGACCAGACAGTGGGGGAAAAAGGTAACCAAGTGGTGGGGAAAGGAGACCAGACAGTGGGGGAAAAAGGTAACCAAGTGGTGGGGAAAGGAGACCAGACAGTGGGGGAAAAAGGTAACCAAGTGGTGGGGAAAGGAGACCAGACAGTGGGGGAAAAAGGTAACCAAGTGGTGGGGAAAGGAGACCAGACAGTGGGGGAAAAAGGTAACCAAGTGGTGGGGAAAGGAGACCAGACAGTGGGGGAAAAAGGTAACCAAGTGGTGGGGAAAGGAGACCAGACAGTGGGGGAAAAAGGTAACCAAGTGGTGGGGAAAGGAGACCAGACAGTGGGGGAAAAAGGTAACCAAGTGGTGGGGAAAGGAGACCAGACAGTGGGGGAAAAAGGTAACCAAGTGGTGGGGAAAGGAGACCAGACAGTGGGGGAAAAAGGTAACCAAGTGGTGGGGAAAGGAGACCAGACAGTGGGGGAAAAAGGTAACCAAGTGGTGGGGAAAGGAGACCAGACAGTGGGGGAAAAAGGTAACCAAGTGGTGGGGAAAGGAGACCAGACAGTGGGGGAAAAAGGTAACCAAGTGGTGGGGAAAGGATACCAGACAGTGGGGGAAAAGGTAACCAAGTGGTGGGGAAAGGAGACCAGACAGTGGGGGAAAAAGGTAACCAAGTGGTGGGGAAAGGATACCAGACAGTGGGGGAAAAAGGTAACCAAGTGGTGGGGAAAGGATACCAGACAGTGGGGGAAAAAGGTAACCAAGTGGTGGGGAAAGGAGACCAGACAGTGGGGGAAAAAGGTAACCAAGTGGTGGGGAAAGGAGACCAGACAGTGGGGGAAAAGGTAACCAAGTGGTGGGGAAAGGATACCAGACAGTGGGGGAAAAAGGTAACCAAGTGGTGGGGAAAGGAGACCAGACAGTGGGGGAAAAAGGTAACCAAGTGGTGGGGAAAGGAGACCAGACAGTGGGGGAAAAAGGTAACCAAGTGGTGGGGAAAGGATACCAGACAGTGGGGGAAAAAGGTAACCAAGTGGTGGAAAAAGGTAACCAAGTGGTGGGGAAAGGATACCAGACAGTGGGGGAAAAAGGTAACCAAGTGGTGGGGAAAGGATACCAGACAGTGGGGGAAAAAGGTAACCAAGTGGTGGGGAAAGGATACCAGACAGTGGGGGAAAAAGGTAACCAAGTGGTGGGGAAAGGATACCAGACAGTGGGGGAAAAAGGTAACCAAGTGGTGGGGAAAGGATACCAGACAGTGGGGGAAAAAGGTAACCAAGTGGTGGGGAAAGGATACCAGACAGTGGGGGAAAAAGGTAACCAAGTGGTGGGGAAAGGATACCAGACAGTGGGGGAAAAAGGTAACCAAGTGGTGGGGAAAGGATACCAGACAGTGGGGGAAAAAGGTAACCAAGTGGTGGGGAAAGGATACCAGACAGTGGGGGAAAAAGGTAACCAAGTGGTGGGGAAAGGATACCAGACAGTGGGGGAAAAAGGTAACCAAGTGGTGGGGAAAGGAGACCAGACAGTGGGGGAAAAAGGTAACCAAGTGGTGGGGAAAGGATACCAGACAGTGGGGGAAAAAGGTAACCAAGTGGTGGGGAAAGGATACCAGACAGTGGGGGAAAAAGGTAACCAAGTGGTGGGGAAAGGATACCAGACAGTGGGGGAAAAAGGTAACCAAGTGGTGGGGAAAGGATACCAGACAGTGGGGGAAAAAGGTAACCAAGTGGTGGGGAAAGGATACCAGACAGTGGGGGAAAAAGGTAACCAAGTGGTGGGGAAAGGATACCAGACAGTGGGGGAAAAAGGTAACCAAGTGGTGGGGAAAGGAGACCAGACAGTGGGGAAAAAGGTAACCAAGTGGTGGGGAAAGGAGACCAGACAGTGGGGGAAAAAGGTAACCAAGTGGTGGGGAAAGGATACCAGACAGTGGGGAAAAAGGTAACCAAGTGGTGGGGAAAGGATACCAGACAGTGGGGAAAAAGGTAACCAAGTGGTGGGGAAAGGATACCAGACAGTGGGGGAAAAAGGTAACCAAGTGGTGGGGAAAGGATACCAGACAGTGGGGGAAAAAGGTAACCAAGTGGTGGGGAAAGGAGACCAGACAGTGGGGGAAAAAGGTAACCAAGTGGTGGGGAAAGGATACCAGACAGTGGGGGAAAAAGGTAACCAAGTGGTGGGGAAAGGATACCAGACAGTGGGGGAAAAAGGTAACCAAGTGGTGGGGAAAGGATACCAGACAGTGGGGGAAAAAGGTAACCAAGTGGTGGGGAAAGGATACCAGACAGTGGGGGAAAAAGGTAACCAAGTGGTGGGGAAAGGATACCAGACAGTGGGGGAAAAAGGTAACCAAGTGGTGGGGAAAGGATACCAGACAGTGGGGGAAAAAGGTAACCAAGTGGTGGGGAAAGGAGACCAGACAGTGGGGGAAAAAGGTAACCAAGTGGTGGGGAAAGGAGACCAGACAGTGGGGGAAAAAGGTAACCAAGTGGTGGGGAAAGGATACCAGACAGTGGGGGAAAAAGGTAACCAAGTGGTGGGGAAAGGATACCAGACAGTGGGGGAAAAAGGTAACCAAGTGGTGGGGAAAGGATACCAGACAGTGGGGGAAAAAGGTAACCAAGTGGTGGGGAAAGGATACCAGACAGTGGGGGAAAAAGGTAACCAAGTGGTGGGGAAAGGATACCAGACAGTGGGGGAAAAAGGTAACCAAGTGGTGGGGAAAGGATACCAGACAGTGGGGGAAAAAGGTAACCAAGTGGTGGGGAAAGGATACCAGACAGTGGGGGAAAAAGGTAACCAAGTGGTGGGAAAGGATACCAGACAGTGGGGGAAAAAGGTAACCAAGTGGTGGGGAAAGGATACCAGACAGTGGGGGAAAAAGGTAACCAAGTGGTGGGGAAAGGATACCAGACAGTGGGGGAAAAAGGTAACCAAGTGGTGGGGAAAGGATACCAGACAGTGGGGGAAAAAGGTAACCAAGTGGTGGGGAAAGGATACCAGACAGTGGGGGAAAAAGGTAACCAAGTGGTGGGGAAAGGATACCAGACAGTGGGGGAAAAAGGTAACCAAGTGGTGGGGAAAGGATACCAGACAGTGGGGGAAAAAGGTAACCAAGTGGTGGGGAAAGGATACCAGACAGTGGGGGAAAAAGGTAACCAAGTGGTGGGGAAAGGATACCAGACAGTGGGGGAAAAAGGTAACCAAGTGGTGGGGAAAGGATACCAGACAGTGGGGGAAAAAGGTAACCAAGTGGTGGGGAAAGGATACCAGACAGTGGGGGAAAAAGGTAACCAAGTGGTGGGGAAAGGATACCAGACAGTGGGGGAAAAAGGTAACCAAGTGGTGGGGAAAGGATACCAGACAGTGGGGGAAAAAGGTAACCAAGTGGTGGGGAAAGGATACCAGACAGTGGGGGAAAGGTAACCAGACAGTGGGGAAAAGGTAACCAAGTGGTGGGAAAGGAGACCAGACAGTGGGGGAAAAAGGTAACCAAGTGGTGGGGAAAGGATACCAGACAGTGGGGGAAAAAGGTAACCAAGTGGTGGGGAAAGGATACCAGACAGTGGGGGAAAAAGGTAACCAAGTGGTGGGGAAAGGATACCAGACAGTGGGGGAAAAAGGTAACCAAGTGGTGGGGAAAGGAGACCAGACAGTGGGGGAAAAAGGTAACCAAGTGGTGGGGAAAGGATACCAGACAGTGGGGGAAAAAGGTAACCAAGTGGTGGGGAAAGGAGACCAGACAGTGGGGGAAAAAGGTAACCAAGTGGTGGGGAAAGGATACCAGACAGTGGGGGAAAAAGGTAACCAAGTGGTGGGGAAAGGATACCAGACAGTGGGGGAAAAAGGTAACCAAGTGGTGGGGAAAGGATACCAGACAGTGGGGGAAAAGGTAACCAAGTGGTGGGGAAAGGATACCAGACAGTGGGGGAAAAAGGTAACCAAGTGGTGGGGAAAGGATACCAGACAGTGGGGGAAAAAGGTAACCAAGTGGTGGGGAAAGGATACCAGACAGTGGGGGAAAAAGGTAACCAAGTGGTGGGGAAAGGATACCAGACAGTGGGGGAAAAAGGTAACCAAGTGGTGGGGAAAGGATACCAGACAGTGGGGGAAAAAGGTAACCAAGTGGTGGGGAAAGGATACCAGACAGTGGGGGAAAAAGGTAACCAAGTGGTGGGGAAAGGATACCAGACAGTGGGGGAAAAAGGTAACCAAGTGGTGGGGAAAGGATACCAGACAGTGGGGGAAAAAGGTAACCAAGTGGTGGGGAAAGGAGACCAGACAGTGGGGGAAAAAGGTAACCAAGTGGTGGGGAAAGGATACCAGACAGTGGGGGAAAAAGGTAACCAAGTGGTGGGGAAAGGATACCAGACAGTGGGGGAAAAAGGTAACCAAGTGGTGGGGAAAGGATACCAGACAGTGGGGGAAAAAGGTAACCAAGTGGTGGGGAAAGGATACCAGACAGTGGGGGAAAAAGGTAACCAAGTGGTGGGGAAAGGATACCAGACAGTGGGGGAAAAAGGTAACCAAGTGGTGGGGAAAGGATACCAGACAGTGGGGGAAAAAGGTAACCAAGTGGTGGGGAAAGGATACCAGACAGTGGGGGAAAAAGGTAACCAAGTGGTGGGGAAAGGATACCAGACAGTGGGGGAAAAAGGTAACCAAGTGGTGGGGAAAGGATACCAGACAGTGGGGGAAAAAGGTAACCAAGTGGTGGGGAAAGGAGACCAGACAGTGGGGAAAAAGGTAACCAAGTGGTGGGGAAAGGATACCAGACAGTGGGGGAAAAAGGTAACCAAGTGGTGGGGAAAGGAGACCAGACAGTGGGGGAAAAAGGTAACCAAGTGGTGGGGAAAGGATACCAGACAGTGGGGGAAAAAGGTAACCAAGTGGTGGGGAAAGGAGACCAGACAGTGGGGGAAAAAGGTAACCAAGTGGTGGGGAAAGGATACCAGACAGTGGGGGAAAAAGGTAACCAAGTGGTGGGGAAAGGATACCAGACAGTGGGGGAAAAAGGTAACCAAGTGGTGGGGAAAGGATACCAGACAGTGGGGGAAAAAGGTAACCAAGTGGTGGGGAAAGGATACCAGACAGTGGGGGAAAAAGGTAACCAAGTGGTGGGGAAAGGATACCAGACAGTGGGGGAAAAAGGTAACCAAGTGGTGGGGAAAGGAGACCAGACAGTGGGGGAAAAAGGTAACCAAGTGGTGGGGAAAGGATACCAGACAGTGGGGGAAAAAGGTAACCAAGTGGTGGGGAAAGGATACCAGACAGTGGGGGAAAAAGGTAACCAAGTGGTGGGGAAAGGATACCAGACAGTGGGGGAAAAAGGTAACCAAGTGGTGGGGAAAGGATACCAGACAGTGGGGGAAAAAGGTAACCAAGTGGTGGGGAAAGGATACCAGACAGTGGGGGAAAAAGGTAACCAAGTGGTGGGGAAAGGATACCAGACAGTGGGGGAAAAAGGTAACCAAGTGGTGGGGAAAGGATACCAGACAGTGGGGGAAAAAGGTAACCAAGTGGTGGGGAAAGGATACCAGACAGTGGGGGAAAAAGGTAACCAAGTGGTGGGGAAAGGAGACCAGACAGTGGGGGAAAAAGGTAACCAAGTGGTGGGGAAAGGATACCAGACAGTGGGGGAAAAAGGTAACCAAGTGGTGGGGAAAGGATACCAGACAGTGGGGGAAAAAGGTAACCAAGTGGTGGGGAAAGGATACCAGACAGTGGGGGAAAAAGGTAACCAAGTGGTGGGGAAAGGAGACCAGACAGTGGGGGAAAAAGGTAACCAAGTGGTGGGGAAAGGAGACCAGACAGTGGGGGAAAAAGGTAACCAAGTGGTGGGGAAA